AGCGGAACGGCGAGTGCACCGTAAAAAGGAGCGACTCGACAGACTGGCTCCAGCCGGCCCGACCGGGCTTTTGTCCCGGGGAATCCTCCCAAGGTCCGCCACGCTCAATCGGGACCCGTCGTATAGCGCGCAGATGCCGCAACAGCGTCGCCACTGTGTCCTCCTTTCCCCTTGCTCCGCGATCTTTGGAACTCTGCAGCCTGTCATGACGTACTCTGCTTTACGGAAAGATTTCGGAAAGCGAAGTGGGTGCCAACTATTAAAAAAAAAAAAACCGCGCACAATCGGGTTTTAATAAAGAGTCTCTCCCTTGGGCTTTTTGGTAATAGATACACGCGTGTGGAAACGCGCTTCGCTTTAATCAGCGCGCCCGCAAATTGGTCTTAATTGGTGTAATACCCAGCGCCGACGCTGCTAATCGCCACGAACAAATCCGAGGAAACAGGCCCAAGTAACCATGATGAAACAACCGTGAAATCCAATTTAGCGAGAGAAGGAATCAACCCCCCCTTCCCCACGAATACAATTAAAACAGCAGTCCCCACTCCTCCCATTGCAAGTCCTTTAATTGATGGGATTTCCTCAAGCTTGACGAGCAAGGTATCTCTATACCGCCCCCCTGCGGCTTGGGTTCAACGTCATTCGCAATGAACATCGGCCGAGATGGCTCCTCTCTCATTCGGGCCTCCGTAAGATCCTTAGCTCCTTTGATCTATGACAGGATCAAAGGGCCAGACCAGCCTGTTTTTAAACGGGAACGTACCGTAGTTTTGCCGGGGGGATTCAGAAATCGTGACGCTGGCTCGAGACAGGGCGATAGGCCGGGTCAGTCCTGGGTTCGATCACTAGGCCTACAGGCCACAGTGCTATGAACTCACTACTATAGAGAATACCAGAATAATCGAGTTGTCTCCAGGCCGTTTGATTGAAGCAAACATCCCATACATCTTGTCTCTCGATATTGCACCCCACCGGATCATTATCGGGGGCCCTCATTCGGGCCATCTGAATCCCCACAATGTGTGTACATAATGGACATTGATACCTTCCGCTTTGGGGGAACGGAGAGCGAGCGTCAACCGTTTGCCGGAGCGTTTGGCGAATTCATCACGCCCGGGAATTGATACTGTAAATTTGGCGGGAAAAGAAATGGCGCTAAATGCGGCGGCCAACGACGCCAGAGCTGCCAACACACAGGAAGAGACCCATTTCCCGCCACTCTCTAGGCTGGGCGCACGGCGGCGAGTAAGCATTATTGGCTCATTCGCTGCTGTGTTGATGGCCAATAAAAACGAGCCTAAACGTTTGTCGAGAGCGTCTGTGATTTATCAGGCCACTCAAGTAAAATACCGGTAAACCGTTAATGTATGGTTTTTCAAATCCCTTTATGACGTGGGCAACCGTAATAGCACAGTTCACTTGCCTCCGACGCGGCTCTCCATTCATTCATTACGTTGGCAACGGCAATAACAAGACACTATCTCAGTCATTTATGTAGTTTAAGCCATTAATTTTATATACACCAAAATGTAAATTTAAAACTGTCGGGAATATTAAACACAAATGTGAGTAATAGGGACTACATTTTCTGAAGGTAAGAATTAGGAATAATGGCCACAACTCTCTGAAAGATTGGTCAATAAAGCAGCGTTTTTTGTAGCGTCGTGAGCTGATGACGGAACAACAGCGTCCCTAGCGGGAAGTGTTTTGGTGGAAGTTGGAAATGATAGAGGGCGCTATTTCATGGCTACTCAATTACAACAGTCCGCCTGCTTTTACCGAGGTAGTGCATTTTCTTGTGGGCACAATCACGATCATGAGTACACATGTAAATGCCTATATCCTTCAAGGAGTTTGTCTATAGGACCGATCCCAACGTTGTGGTGATATCTCTTCAACGGGGATTTAAACCTGGTGCCCAGCCGCTCGGTCAACCAGAAAGGAACATCCATGACGCTTCATACCATAATGGCTCATTGCGTGAATTCTGTTCTTTCTGAAAGACCTCAGAGCAGCTACTGTACTGTCGCCCATGTGTGACTGCTTTCCGCAAATATCTGTCACTATTTGGGATTTTTGATGCCTAGCGGCATAACTAGACATTTTGCGTAAACTGCCATTATGAGGTTCCGTAATCATTTTTTATTTATTTATTTTTTATTTTTGTATTTTCATCTATATTTTGGGGGAGTGATGTGTTCGGACGAAATTTATCACATGAAAGGTCAGTGGCGGCCATTTTTCAAATCAAAAACATAGAGAAGACTCCAGGTCATTCTGGAAACTACCCCCACTTTGTGTCAGAATATATACCCAGCAAGAAATGAGACCGAGGGGCACCCCCCAACATGTCCAATCTGTATACACATTCCAGACTATTGTTACTTAACACATCCCCCCAAGATGTCTGAAGGAATTCCCCAGATTCCTGCGAGACAATGAGCGACACAAAGCAGGGGGGGGGTCTCTCCGTCTCATACCTTGCTGCATATGGCCACAAGACAAGCCCTAACGTCAAACCCGGGAGGTCCACTGGCGGCACTGGTCATTTCTGGAAAATGTTAGCCACTTTCCGATCATAGATAAGGACGCTCTGAAGTAGTCCCGTCATCTAAAGTGAAATGTATCATATGCATGACAACACAACCTGATGTTATTTTGAAAACTCACCTATTGATCTTTTTTGTGGCCCATGGCCGTGAATTCCATTCCTCGGGTTGATCATGCAGGGTCCCAGCTCTCGGACACGGGGACTGTGAGACACCAGACTGTTTCACATTGAGGACGAACTGACGATTCCATCGATCACCTGTGAACTAGATAGTCAGTTTCAGCTGTTCGTCATTTGCATGCCTGTCTGGCCGGATAGATGCCATTCCACACACACAGAAACTCATTCGGCATAACAAGCGTTCTTTGTATTATTTTGGTCCCATCACTTACAGCGTTTTTTTTTTTTGGATCACGGCTTGCTTGTAAGTTCGCATAGGCCTATAAGAAACAAAGCTGAGTCAAAGTTACCCCTGACATCCTTGAATTATCCCAAAATAGTCCCGTAGAATGTCAGTAACTGACGATGCAGAGCTGTATCATCTCCAGTTTCACCAAGAAATCGAGACTTTTCGAGGAAGTCTCTGTGTCTGGTTTCAAATTTCGAAATGCCATGGATGCACGTTTTCGAAATCTGGAAGGGCGCCCTCATGAAATGGTCTGTCCCTTTTGCCTAAAATAAGGAGCTCGGGCCAAGTCAAACTCCCCGGCTGGGGACTGGTGTCTCCAGTTTTCGTCCATTTTGTAGCATGAAGCTTTATGCAGTATGCCTTGTGTTCCTGCCATTCTCCTTTTGCCGTTTTGCCAGAAACTTTAGACATACTTGGTTCCATGGCTGTTGCTTCCCAAACCATAATGTTTACCGGGCACCACCCCTCTCATAGGAACGCTTTAGGAGGCACCTCTCCAGAGAATTAATGCTTTTTTTTAAATGAAAGATTTCCTCAAAATTTGTCTCGAATGTTTTCGTGCAGTTCTGAATTTCTGAATTACCTTTCATCTAAAGATTACACATTCCTTCCTGTTAAAGTCCCCCTTTTCCCTAGCCTCAAGAGTTAAACGCCACTTTCTTCACCAAATTGTCAGTCTAGAATACACCTCGAGGATGCGGCTTTTTATTGCCCGTGACCACAGAGAGAGTTGGGAAGCAAACCAGCAGGTGTTTGCACCAGCGCATACAGACAGTCAGTATACAATAGACCTTTTCACTAATAACGTCATAATTTACACGCATGCACACAAATGGCCTTGGTGGCAAGAAGTGTGAGCGGGACATTGAAAACGTACAGGGGTGGGACTTCGATGATCATTTTCTCTCAGGTTTCTGGCTTTGTTCAGTTTTTCTTCAGAAAATCTCATTAAATCGTTTTTGCTATAAAACAGCACGAAAGGAAACCAGCTTAGATACGGCAATCTCGTGCGCAAAGGAAAAGTTACGATTGTAAAGGCTTTTTAGAAATCACTACAATACCCTTAGATTAGAAACTAATAGAAAAAAAACCCGATTAAATGGGCCATTTGTGCACATGTGTGCATAATTATGAATTTATTAGTAAAAAGTTCATTAGCTACACTGCATTCATAATGACAGCCATTTTGTTTCCAAAATCTGAGGCCGTGTTTGTTTTACAGGGATCACGCTAAGCGATCCGTCGTTGGTTTACTGCACCACATCTCGCCACATGGATGGTGCGAACCAGCGTCAGAATCACTAATCGAGATCCAGGGCCGTTTTCCAATACTCAATTCGGCTCCGCATCAGGCTTCAGCTGTTTTTTACTTCCTGAATTTGAAGCTGTAAGCGCTGTAATTAGTCTACAAGTGCCACAAAACATCAAATAAGATGCAAGAGAGCCAAAACTTACAGAAATCCAATTTTATTTAAACGCTTCAGGCCCACAATCGGGGATTGGTTTCGGGGACGCAACCTGAGACGGAGACGAAGTTGAGTATTGGAAAACGGCCCAGACCTGTGTTAAACAAACAGAAATTCGCCGTTGTTGAATTCTCTCTATTCAGTTCTGCGCGTCACATAAAGCAAGCGCCCTCTTTCCGATGCACGCAGCCCGTGAATGGGAACTTGCATAGCTGAAAATTTTCGGGTGTCGCCAACAGGTGGCGCCGTACAAAATTGGTGGCAAGACCGTGGAAGAAAAAACCCCTGCATGCTGCGCGTGCCTCCTTACATGTGCATCAACAGCCTGCGATGTTTTGAATACACAACATTCTTTGGGACACACAGTGTGCTTTCTTGTCAGAAAAATGGTTTAGTCTAGAGAGCAGACTAGTCCTCACGTCTGGTGGAAAAGCTTCACCTGTTTAATTTCGGACTTTACTTCCTTTTGATAAAACATCCCCAGAGCCATAATTTTAACCTTGACTCACACCGTGTTATGTAAAAAAAAAATCACTGACTACTTGAACGTAATGGACAATACCAACAACAACACTTGCTGCAGGGTTGCCAAAGTTTGGTATATTTATATTAACGGACTATTCACAAAGATGATTGACTAGAAAATAAAGACCGCAACTGAAGTAATATAATGTTCCTTGTGTAGAACTATCTTGATAAGGAAATAATTGTCGATACTTGGCACGTTTCCAACAATTCCAATGCATGTACAGGAAATGCTAGCGATTTTTGCTATCTAAAGTATACTCGTATTTTTGAAAGTGAATCCAAAAGTCTGCTCAGAAGAATTCATGAAAACCTTTTGCTTTTCATTCGATAACAATACTTTCGAAATGACTCACCACTAAGGCTGATGATGGCAAGACACTGAGGATGGAGTTAACACAGAACCAAAACCTCTGATTGTAGCAACAAACATTACACAGCAGGAGGCTAACATCATTAGCACATTAAACTTAAAAGGCAAATTCCTCTCCTTAATCGAGTGAGATGGACTTCTGCATCGCAGGATTAATAATCAAGAGTTCCTCAAAGACCCTTATAATCTGTCGCGTCGCATCAATTTACTGTGCTGGTGTAATAGTTACATTAAAATGTAATTATGTAGGGTTCATTATCGGTAGGCAAGTATTACTAGAGAGGCAGAAAAGTGAATTCTTCGGTATGCAAGACCAACCAGTTGCCGAACGCAAATCAGACATCAATTGTTGACGGATAGTTTGATATGTATAGTGCACACCAATGTATCTAAACGTACGTGGAGCTGTTCAAGGTTATTTTGTCATACACATGAAGGGTGAAAGTGTGTCCTTAAGATCCATTTCCCCGGATTTCGCCACACAGTCGCTGCGACAGATAGCACCCTTCTTTTAATTTAATTTATTACCAAACGCTTCATTGCGTTACGATTAAAACAATTAAACTTGTAATGTGTGTAACACATTATCAAGGTTATAAACATTTTAAAAACACGAAACGATACTGTACATTCACCTCATCCACGCCCTTTTCCAAAGAAAACCGTGGGATTGAATTATGAGCGGACGTCCTCAAAAGAAAGTAGTACAGCATATCCCGCAACGTCCGTTAAGTGCGCATAATGTTGGAAATAACATTGATTGCAAAACGACAGCAATGCGACAAGTAAGCATGTTTTGTACATGGTTGTTCTTTTATAGTCCCGAAACTGCTTCCTATCTTTATTTTCATTTCCCGAGAGCACATCGTGTGGTGCAAACCTCTAAGCCGGCTGTACAGTACAATGCCAGTATGACGAACACCCGCTGCTATACCGAACATTTGGGTACACTGTACATTCCCCAGGGCTCACGAATTTTCCCTGGATTTTATTAACCGTTCATAAATGGAAATTTTCGTTGTATTGGGATATCTAGTATTCTTTGTAAAAGTTGACGATGTTAAATTTCGCCTTCCAAATGCTTCGGATTATACCTCTTGATTTTCACAACTACAGCTTTTGACTTTCTCCTGAAAGCTTGCGCGGATTCCCCTCAAAAAGGAGTCTGGTTTAAAATGGTAGCCGTGCTCCTTTATCAGCCTGATATGCAGCTCATTATTTGAATCTTTGATGAAGAAAATGTATGCTTTTTGATTCTAATTTCTGTCGATTATAAATAAACAAGCTGTAAAGTATTCACTAGATTTTATTTCATACGACCCACTGAGTTTCAGTTTCCGGTTGTTTGAAGACAAACTCGACAGGGATGGGTTTGGCCGGCGTGTGTCGACGCCTGCCGATGGAGGCGAACTGGCCTGTTGCTGACCCGTCCAGGGCTTGCGTGTTACAGCCGCTGATCTGTGGTATCACGGAAGGCGGCGGTGGAGGTGGCGGCCGGCGGTCGACGACGGGGCTGGGAGCAGGTCGGTGGTCCTTCTGTGGTTGGTGGTCGACACTCAAATAAGTGTGCTCCACGGGCTTGACGAAGGTGTCGTGCCGATCCAACCGGGCGTCGGAGCCGGCCAACGCCGCCCCGTGCTCGGCGATGGGCGCGAGTCGCTTGACCTCCGCACGCTGGATGTGCAGGAAGCGGGCCTGCTGGCCGCGGCCGACGGAACCGCTGCTGAACAACATCGGACGCAGATCTGGCAGGGACACAGAGTAGCGGTTCTGCAAGGGGATGGCTTCTGTAAGAGATCGCATGGGCATCTCACGCTTCGCCTGCTGGCCATCCAAGATAGCATTGGTGACGTCATAGGTACGCTTGGTCTTCTGTGAGAAACTTGGGAACATCCTGTGAAAAGGAAAACGTCGAGTAAAGGTTACTTTCAAAATTTGTTGGGGTGCAAAAAGCGACATGAAATTATAGCCTGCTATTTAGCTGAAGCGCTTAATGAACCGCTCCACAACCAACGATCAATGGTTCGTAAAGTTGTCGCCATGGTGGATCGTCTACACAATGGGCCTCATCCCCCACAATCCCTTGCAGTCTACATGACAACTTTCATGTCAGGCTAAGATCCAATTGGCTACTTTGTGGATACGACTTCAGAATCTGCAATTTAAGGGCTACATCGAATGCATAGTCGTGGCCAGGTAGCCATGCACAAATATCTGGTCACGGCCTGATGCTAATGATAGCAGATAGAAGCGGTTCGTCGGAAGTGAGTGCCATAGTTGCACACGAGTTGATAGGTTTGTAGCTCCATGATTGTACGATTTCAGTTAGTTTATGACTACGACTAGCAAAAAAATAAAAACGGCTCATATTACTTCGCCAGTCGACCCATAAGGTCTGATATTACACAGCATTGGGGGCGTTTGCGCGTTTGTGCTCGATTGTCCATTAATGAAAATCGACAAAAGGCTGACGTTAACGTAACTGAAAGGCGTTTGATTAACGTGATACATTTTAGGAATGCTTGGAAAATCGCCCAAAAGATTCCGATAAATATGGAACCAAAGTTTACAATATTTTTCATGTAACCTTTTATGGCCTTTCTTAGGGCTGAGACTATACATTGCAGGGCTTTAATTTAGATCCACTGTTGTGTTCACAAGTGTTTTCTCGCCAGTGAACAACGAAAAAAAATGGACCAACCCTCTTTCTCCCAGCTTTATAAACAATCAGTTACAAAATGCGAACGGAGGGATTGCAAACAGTGTAACGAATCTCCGCTTCGGCTTGCTTATCACAGCCGAGTGCAAACGTCAGTCAGTCAGGCGACTATATAACAAAGCGCCCTCTCTCGTTCGCGGACGGAGCGCATATAAACCGTGCAGTCTAGTTCAGATCTTGCTAAGGTTTTTCCCGGGGAGCCTCTCCTTCTCTCTTGCACCTACTTGTTCTTTTTCATGAAGACGCAGAGTCCGACGATGACGGCCAAGACAATGGCTACCGACAAGGAGAGAGAAACGACGATTGCTGTGTCGTCGGACCCAGTGGGCCGCTTGGTTCTGAGGGGCGTGCCGCTGGTAGTCGGTGTCGTCGTGGTGTCTCCAGAGTTGGATGTAGTCTTCCCTGGCGAAGAATGGAAGAACAGTTATGTTCTGTATTTTTTTAAGCTTTTTAAATATCGTTTCATATGGAACGCGCTTTATGGCCCCAAAGGGAGCAATCAAGGATGGTGTGTATACTTTCAGTGAAAAAAAAAAAAACACTTTGGTGGTGTCATACCCACCAGGCGGAGGTGCGCTTGAGACAGGACCGCTCTGGCCACTAGTTTGGGCCGACCATTGTTTAGCAGGGATATCAAGGGGTGACACTTCTTGAACGACTCCTACCTGTCGGACTCAGACAATGCTGCCACGAGGTCTCTGCGCTGACGCCGGTGCTGGTGGAGCGGCCGGTGGGGAAGGCTAAGAATGAAGACTCCTCCCCATGCGGGCTCTGGAGTTGCATCGTCGCGGCCACATGATACGAGCCCGTTACTGCACGCGTGTCGTAGGTGTCCACCCAAACGAAGGTGGTGTCGGTCCGCCGGGTGAGGATGTTGATGTGCGACTTGCGATCCCCGGGACTTGGCAGGAAGCCAACGGTTCGAACGCACTTAGTGCTGTCGCGACTGCTCTGCCGTTTGTCGTGGGAAGAATTCTCGGTGATCACTATGGGCTCCTCTTGGCAGAAATAGGCGAAATTCAGCACGAATTCTGCCGGCTCTGAAAGCATATATTCTATTTGGATCGAACCATTGCTGCGGTACTGCTCCATCGGCATAATCAGAAGGGTTGAGCCTGAGGTGTATCTCACCACCATGACGGGTTTGTCAGAGGAAAGCACCTCGAGATGATCTTCACTCTGTACAAGGTGATCGAACCAAGTCGCCCCAATGTCGGCGACCTTTACTTCAAGTGTGGTACTGTTCGACGATATGGACAGAGATGTGTTTGGGGACGGAATGACGATCCTGTGAATTTGCAGGGACGACGTCGGGTAACCAGACCGAGTCATGATGAATTCGTGCCCCCACGCGTCCACCGGGGGCAACTGTTGGGCGAGCACGGTGTCACCCAGTTGGCTTCCGGACACGACCGCGACTGGCTGGCTCGATGTCACGCGCACGCCAGTCAAATCGAACAGGCTCGAGACGTAAATAGTCTGGTTTCTGTTCAGGACCCTGTTGATATGCTGTGTTTTGTTGGTGGCTTTGTTGACTAACTCAGGGAATCTCATGTTAATATCCACGCTAGTGTTGTCCTGAGTAGCCGAAACTGTAAACAGGTGTAGTCGCGCGACTGGCGAGGAGGCTATGAAATATTCCAGTCCGAGGGCCTTGGTAGGATGAACGAGGAAACGGTCAGCACGATTGCCGGTCACACACTGCAGTGTGATGCTACTGTTGGCTCTGACAACCACCGTGTTTTCGTCGATGTCTAAACGTATTCCCGATAGGGACCCAAGTTCCCTTCGAGCATGCCTGGTTTTCACGGACGGCAGGGAAAACAGCGCCCTCTCGCCGTACCCTACGTCCGCTCGGTGTGAACATCCATGCCCAGGCAAGTCAAAGCGCACTCGGGTGTTCACGTTTGGAGCCTGAGCTGTTGCAATCAGATATGGTCTGACGGAGGTGTTTGGAGGATAAGGGAAGGAGAAAACGAAGTCACGGCCACTGACATCCCAGGGAGAAGCTTGAGTATGAGAAACCATTACAAAATGGATGAATTCTCGGGTAAAAGTTTTGTACAGTCTCATCATGCGTGACGTCGTGCGTCGCGTCGTGCCATCGAGGTGTCCTATCGTCCTGGCAGAGTTTTGAGTGCAAGAAGTCGACCCTAGCGTCTCCTGTCAATTTTCAACATCTTGAAAGCAAGCATTCCTATGAAGGAAAATCCCTTTTGTATGCAAAAGCGTTGTCGGCACGAAATACCACAAGCAGTTACACCATTGAACCATTTTGATGACAGGTTAGGACGACGGCGAGGGTACGACGCGATGTTCGACGCGAATGCACCTACGGTGCGACTCGATGGATGAATGACGGGGACACGCTGTAGCTTTATAGGTAATGAAAGCAACAAGATGGAAAAGAGGACACAATGGCACAACGATAGCTCTACGCAAGACGCAACGCCAGTGTATGTACCAATGCAACACAGGGGAGCGACGGCACGTCGCGTCGTGCCGTCGCACCTTATGCAGAGAGGGCGATGCTGTGGCTCGTGAATAGTACCCCATTTATGAGTATGTAGCAATTGTATTTCTGGATGTTGCTATCTTACACGGCATGCAGTGGGTCTATGCTGATCAGTCAGTCTCGACCAGTCTACACCAGGCGATAGACATTGTCCAATGGGTGTACGCACTTTCACGAGTGGCCTGCAGCACTTTCACGGTGGGACGGTGCGAGTTTGAACGCACTTGCGCTCTGGGGAGGAACATAGCAAGCATCAACGCAAGAAGAGTAGAGGGCAGATTCGAGCGACGACTATTTTGCCGATTTCGTCTGGCCTCAAGGATAACATTCCGTGCACATGTACATGTATGTTACCCATGAAAATCGACCAGTGGTAGACAAGCGGTCGTCGCTCGAACCGTCCCCGTTGCTGTAGAAGCAAGACAGCAGCAACGTGCGAGTTACATTGACGGACGCAACACAAGCGTCAATATTACCAGCAAGCAGCACCGTTCGGTGACAACATGACCACAGCTAAAGGCACGCACACGATCCTGTAATGTTTACTACAGCAGCAATGCCAGCAGTAAAAACATTGGCAACAAAAGACATGAGCTGGCTGTCAAGAAATGATGACAGACACATGACCGGAGCGCAAACAGTGAACTACGACGCCGTCCGATGTCATGTTTTTTGTTGGTTTCCAAGTACGGTTTTCACTTGTGGCTCTCGTTCCGGTTTTATTCGGGGGGAATCCTTAGCTGACAGAATGTTCAAGTAACTCAACACCTTCAAGAAGTGAAACTTGAATCGTGCCATTCAAAACTTGGAAGAGAAACAGAAAAGAACGATAAAAAACGACTACGCGTAGGTTCGCTCTATACCAGTATTAAAACGACAAAATTTTAAAGAGTTTGTGTGTTTTTTTCCCGGAATCGCGAAGACCCCTTGCGTGAGACGGGGCATTTCAGTTTATTCTCAGCTTCATGGGATTTTCAAGCGAAAAAAATATCGTATATTCCGTCGTACCGATCAACGAAAATATAGCAAGCCGAATTAATTTGATTGACTCTTGTCGGTGCGGCGGATGTCATGCGTGTTGTGCGCGTGTAGGATACGGCGGGCCATACAACTGCATTCCGGCCATTATACGTCACCCGCACAATTTGTGCGTTAAACATTGATCTCCGTTATAATGGAGATCAGTGGTGTAAAATGCATTAGCGTGGGAACCAGCGGGTGAACCAACGCGCCCTCGTACTTCATTCGTTTGCACTACACTTCCTGGTTCAAAACGACGTCACATTCAGTGTTACCAGCCCGGTACTTTTTTGTTCAACCTTTTATCTATGTTTTCTCTTTTAAATCAACATAATGGCCAACATTTACATGAGAGAGAGCACAATGAGTGTGGCGTTCTCGTGATGTTAAACTCATTCAGCAGGTGTATGCTTCGAAAGAGAAAAGTCCACACGTGTGGCGTAGGCCAAATGCAATGTCACGCGATCTGTTAAAGCTGAGCCTCGCCTAATAATAGAAAATTATGTGCACGTATTTCGCTTTCATTTTCTTAAAAACTGAAGACAACTTCCTCCTCTTTAGGCCTACACGCACATAATCTGGCGATACTGAGCCTCAATCAGATCAGGTGTAGTCACTTTAAAACACACATGGCCATTTCGCTTTTTTTCCCGCAATGCACGGTGAAAAGTAACTTTTAAGCTCACAATTATCAGATCTGTGGGCGGTGGGTTTAATTTCAGAGATGGGTTTTTGTTCTCCCAACGCTTGCTGTCACTAGGTATAAGAGACTCTAATTCATCCTAAAAAACCAACAGTACCGATAAGCGACCGGGTATGGGCTACTACTTTCCGCGAAGTCCAGGTGAGCGCGTTAATTAATATAAGTTCGAGACTCGTGGCTTACTCGGAGGCCATGGCTTAGAGGCTTGTCTCGTTTCCTCCTTAATTCATGTTTCTAAATACTTGGTCAACACCACATACTGAAACACATCTCGATCTTCGTCTTTGGACTTCAAAATCTTCGTCCCAGAGTCGCAATCTTAGTTTCAAAGGTGGATATCACAACTTCGTTAATACTGATTTACGCCAATAACGAGGCTGGTCGTTTGAACAAACAGATCTGCAAATAGCTAGCTTCTGGGAGCGACAACTGACGTTTTCTTTATCTGTTGGCCTGTGTTTCAGTGCCTAAGGTGTAAGCTTTAGAGAAATAGTCCTCAGTCGACAAAAAACATCCCCGTGCGCAAACCCACAATCAGGTCATGTCAGGGGTCTAAATCTCTTACCTGTCCCAGCTGTTGCCGCACGGTGGGGTTGGATCAAGACTAGCCCCGACAAAAGCAAAACGGCAGTTGCCGCCATGATGGGTCGTGTTGGGATCGGTGCGGTGTTTCCGCAATTTCCTGCAATTTCTGTAGGATCGTCTTGTCGAAGCTGTTGAAATGCTGTCTCGCGATATTAAAAGAAAGGAATTCCGAGGGACAGTATCGCTGCGCGAAACACACAGACCAGGAAGTGGGCATGTTACGCTTCAGCACATTATTAATGCCTCGCGCGTGTATTTCCTCGGCTGCAGTATTCCGAGAATGAAACTCGACAACCGTTGCTAGCCCACCGATTTTATACTGAACACGCGCACAGTGCTGTTCTCTCGATCAGTAAAATACCTTAATGAAGTAAAGTTTTCGAAACAGAAAGAAAAGCTTCTGGGAAATGTAAAAAAAGTAACCGGTTCAAAGGGGAAGTTTCCAGAGAGTTATTAACGCAAAGGTCAATTACTGCACGTGACAATCGTAAAATCTTGAAATTCACTAGCCGACCGACACCATCTTCTGTCTATCCACAAGTAGCCCCTCCATCCAAACGAAACCCTGACACACGCTACAGCAACCGAAGGAGTTTCACAGTACTATTTGCGTAAATAACATTTTATTAGAATATGGAAAGTTTCACTGACAGGGTCAAACGTCTCCAAAATATGTCACTGATAAATAAGCAATCACTTTGTTTACAATCAAAACCTGTTATAACATCTAAATATATATAATGTCAACTGGCCCCGTGAAAAGGGTGAATGAACCTAACAACAGCATTGCAACACCTGTGTAATTACATGTATTTAGCACATTGGTTATTTTCTTGGCAAGTGATCATAAACAAATACAAATACTTTACCCAAAATCGTTTCAGTTGGTGAGGTCTTACAAAAAAAGTACAAACTTCTATATGAAACGTGTACAAAATTGCACAAAAATCGCTACAAATGCAGTATACGGCAGCCAACAATGTGGGAATTTACCAAACGACAGCCATGTTGTCAGTCACGCTTAATACGACGCCTACCACGTCAAAGCAAAATGCGCAAAGAAAGTCACAATACCGTGAATGATTATTACTATTCCAGTCATTCCCCACCAACCCTGCAGAGACGACACAAAATAGTCAACGAAAACACGCGCGCACGAAAAACAGTGTGACAACGTCCATGTCAAAACCTTTGCCACTGACACAATCGTGTCTTTTTCCCCTTTCTCGACATGAGCTCAACAAAACAATGGCAGCAAAAAGCGTACATTTCAGTATCGCGATTCACATGAACAACAAACACAGAAATAGCCGTCGGTTAAGAGTAACGAGGCATTTCAGTAAGGGTCGAATTGCTGGATTTCACATAGGGGATCTAATCCGAGTGCATATTTCAAATACAATAAGCGTGACTAGTGGATACAGTTGAACAGTGACACTGTAAACATTACAAGTGACCATCGATACTGCGCATGCCACTGTTTCCCCCCCGACGTTCTCGCATTTTTAACTTTCTGCAACGTTTTAAATGTTATAAACACGTCAAATCCACCCACAGCTTAGCCGTGCCCGTGACTCGTATGGCCACGTCCGTACTACTTCGCTCCGGCCTACAATTACACACGCGTCTATGGAAGTGCCCGTGTCCCCATCCAATGATACCGTTGGGTGTGATTTCAAGCCGTAGCCAAGTCTTTCAGACACGGCTTGATTATACATGTGGGCAAAAACCTTAAGCCGTGTCCAAAAGTTGTGGCTGCGTCTAGAAACAAAGTAACACTAGAGCCTAGACTGTAAGCACTGGCTGGATAGCAGGCTCCTTCCACTTCTGGGCAGGAGCCGATAGAGTCGGTCAAAGCCTCAGTACTTTGGATTCTTATGTACAATCGGGGGAAGCCAAGGTGTTAAAAAGACAGGTCTGGTCCTCCATCAACTTTCGATTGCAGAGGTGGGTTTTTTTTTACGTTTGAATATTTTTTAGTATACAACCGCAATAGTAACAAAAATACAAACATTACTTTAAAACAATAAGCACAGCACAGAATAACGACAAGACAATAAAATGTCGAATGACGAAATGGTCATTTCAAAGGCAACAATATTGCGAGTTTCAATACTTAAAAATACAAAAGTCAGACAAAATGAACATAATCTGGACAGCTTAATTCTACACACATACGTTTCAGCATAATTGAAAAAATTCAAATTATCAAAAAAAACCTAAAATGCCGATTATTAGTCTCTAATTAACATCTTAACTGCATTCCAACTTAGGCTCTGAACTGAATATAAATAACTTTTTTCTTCTCAAAATTATTTTATTTCTTCGTTATAAATAAATAATCAATTTAAATAACACCGATAAGGCAGCATTTACAACGCAACAAACAAGCAGCAAAAACCTTTCTCATTCCTTATAGACTCATTATTACACACACAAAAATTAGGAAGGAGAACAGATGGGCTTGGCACCCTTAGTGTGATCAGGCTGCTGCCAGCCACATGGGGGCGCTATTGCAAAGTTAAAGACGGAGGGACACTTCGGCTGGGGCACCTGGTGCCGAGGCTTCTCTGACGACGAAGCGGGGACCAGGCAGGGTAGGGACGCGCTGCGCGTTCGGCGGGCTCCGGGGAAGAGCGCCGGTAGGGTCCGGGTGAAGTCATGGGGCGTGTGGCAGTCGCGGCCCGGCAGGTGACCGGGGCCAGCCGGGCATCCGGCTCCGACACCACCGCCAGAGCCACTGCTGGTAGCCTCCCGCTGCTGCTTGAGGTCGGCCTCGTACCTGAGGAGCTGCAGCATGAAGGAAAAGTTGGGCGAGATGACCTTACGCAAGCTGCGGACGAACTCGAAGGCTTCCTCCAGGCGCATAGCCTGCACCTTCATAAGGTACGCCAGGCAAACGGTGGCCGAGCGGCTGATGCCGGCTCGGCAGTGAATCAGGACCGAGCCTCCGGACAACTTGACGGTGTCTGCGAAAAAAAAGTGACAAAGTAAGACACCATCAGCTACCGTCGTCTGAAAACTGACCTGGCGACTGCAGCTTTTAAAATCTCAAGAGGGAGCTCTCAGGATGATCGTTTTAAAGTGTGTGCAAGAACACACACTTACTCCTCGAAACGTGTCATATAAATACAGTGTATCAGGGCAGGGCCAGTCAAACTGGAAAAGTTGTTTGCGAAAAGATGTTTCCTCGTGTAAGTTACACAAAAGCTCCTCACTCGCTGATGAGAATTTACAGCGACCTACTGACTTTGACTGGCACAGCTGCTTTCAACAAGTAGATTAATACTTATACCGTGTGACTTCTCCATCGTGTTAAATGACACCATCTCTTCATAATTTGGCTTTCTAAATCTTACTGAATTATGCAGCAAAATGAGAGCGGAAAAGAACCACGCTTAATGAGCAAGGAGCTTGCAGTTGGACCAGTGCCAAATTCTCTTGCCAAATCCCTCCACTCAACTCACCTATGAAGTCAATGGCCTCGGGAAACCAGGAGAGCAGATCGGCCTCGTTGTCATCATCGACGGGGATGCTCTTGTAGGCAATGGCGCCCTCGCTCAGGAAGTAGTTGGGTACGCAGCGCGAGACGTTGAGCACGGCCGTGATGCCGTGCGCCTCCAGCAGGTCCCGGCGGGCGGCGTGGAAGGCGTTGCCCAGGTACAGGTGGGGCAGGATCTGCACGGGCTCGCCCTCCTGATGCAACGGGACGGTGCGGGCCGGCACCGAGGATGCGTCGCCGCCACAGCCGCTGCTGCTGGCGGAGGGCGGCGCGGCGAGGGGCACGGTGGCGCACCTTGTCAGCCGCTGGAGGCGGAGGGAGGGGCCGACCGGACCGGCCACAGGTATGGGCTCCTCTGTGTCCATGGGGGCTCGGGCCGCGGACGCGGAACACATGGACGGATGTTCCTGGCAGAACTTCTCAAAACCACCTGGAGGAGCAAACAAACAACAAAAGGTCGAATGAACCTGGTTGAATTTCCTCCCATTGATTTCGCAACTTCATCGGAGTACGATATTTCCCTCCGGGTCATAAGTCTGCTTTCCTTCCTTTATGGTCAGAGCTAGTATCCAAGCAAGCGCTGGAAAAATAATAACGCATTGTTACTGTGGGGAGAACAATCAATGCTCTGCTGACCCCTAATGACCGGATGTGGTTTTCTGAATTCAGAATGTGGTTAAAGGCACCATGACACAGACCTTACACAAAGGAACCTGTCATCAGATTGATCGCCATTAATTAACAAAAACATATTACACGCTTGTTCGTGCCCTCTCCTTCGTCTGCTACGAAAAACAGAAAGCTAAACCCTGACCAGACACGGCACTGTTTTGCAATGTATTATGAAAGCTTCAATATCCCGTGGACAAATCGATACCATCACTATCAGTGCTCCCGTTCCAGCCTCGACTTCAGCGGAACCAAAGCGAAATGAAACGGTCACAATAAACCGGGTTCTGTTATCGTAGCAGATTTTAGTTTTGGATGAATTTTCAACACTGCCAATGACGCTGTCGTCGAAACCTATTTAATTCATACGGTTGTTCTATGATTGTGATATTGAACGGCAGTGACACAACTTAGTTTGAGCGAATATCCATTCCTGAACAGTAACGAACCCCTTCAGTTACATCTGTTTTCGACCTCTTATAATTGGCTAATTCCGTTTCCGACAACTGAGGGCGCTGCTGCTCCGGAGTCAATATCCCTTAATGCACACAAATTAGGAAGAAACCGGTTTGCGCTTAACGTTTGGTGACCATAAGATGACATCACGGAGCGTTACAAACACCCGATAAGAAAAGTACAAATAGACAAGCATGTAAATAGAACACAACAATCTCTGTCCACGGGACAATCCGCTCCGGATTATCCCAGGCGTTAAAGGTGTATACAGCTCACGGCAACAGGAAAGGCAGAACACGTGTGGGTTGAAACGCGAGGAACAGTCGAATTAACGTATTAAAACCAATTGACAACTTCCCCAGTCTAAACCAAGAGGACATCCCGAAACATTCGAGACAGGAGAATCCAATCAACTGTTTTACATGGATGACTTTGATTATCACTCGGGGAAAATTGACATTAATAAAAATTCACGAATCGATGCGCCACGGCGAAGACCCCCAGACCAGAAAACACTCAGTAACTGTTTCCGAGAAGGGACACATTATTGTTTGCCCGTCACTCTCTTAATGTCCCGGATGTGCCGTGGCTCTGCGCTGCCGAATAAATCGCCTAATTGACTAAACAAGCGACTAAACAACAACCATGAAATCAATGCGCAGGCCCAATCCCATTTATTAGAAACCGCACATAGGGCGGAAGTGGTCATTTCGCAAAACGAGAGAACTTGATGCCAGGATTTCCACATTTACTACAATCACTGAAAAGGGGGGGGGGTAGAAAGTGTAAACATCCCGTAATGAAGCTAGCAGGCGGAATAAAGAATAGATTTGAATAGAGCTGGAGTCTTTTCATCACTCATTTTAAAATTTCATTTATATCTGTGTACCTTTCTCAACTGACACTACATATTTTAATGAATATATGTATTCTTTTTGTGTGGGTGTAATTTTGAATGTGATGTTTCAATGAATTTACAATTTTTTACGCGCCTCAAAGCGAAAGCATTTTCAGAAGGAAGTGACAGTAAAACAGCATAGAAACAGCGCAGCATAGCACAGACCGAAGGCACATGGAAACAGGTGAGTAAATAGAAAGGGGAAACCTCGAGATCACCCACAGAGTACACGGGAATCGACTTGAGGGATGTTCAAGGCTGGGATTAAATCAGACAATATTAGGCCTCATTACATACACTGCCTCACAGAAGTACAAGTACACTTAGTCTTGCTTTGCACGCTGCGCCACAAGAGGGCGCCAACAAGACTCACGCGGCTTAAAAATATTTCCACTCGGTTGGCTATGAGCGATATCCAAGCCCAATCAGTTTAAGCTCTGAGGCACCTGCGCCAAAGATCCCCACTTACATAGACAAGCGGTGATTCTATCATTCTCGCGGTAAAGTCTGATAAGGGGGGGGAGGGGATACATCCGATTCCAAGGCAACAGAAACATCGGGTAATTCAGGATGTGGCCTGCTAAAAACTCCCGAGTGGCTAATTCCCCTTCCGGAGCCTGCCGAGAGGAGTTCAGTCAAATAGCGCGGAGGGAAAGGAATGGAAAAGGAGGACATTAAAAAACAAACACACATACAAAACAAAAAAAAACAAAACACACACAAAAAAACTTACAGGGTCTGTTACGATTACAAACACTATAACATTTTATCCACTGGGAATATTTCCGAGAAGTCGACGATTATTATATCCCTCATAGTTTCCAGTTATGGAAGAACTAATTACCGCTATGAAATGTCTACCAGTGTGAAGTTCTCCGAAGAGAACAAAATGCGCTAGGGCAAGACTGGAACAGCAAGGTATGAGTCTTTTCTGTACACAAATTTCCCACTATGAAAATGAGTACTGTGAAAGAGGTTCACCGGACTGTTTTATGCCGAACAACGCTGCTTTGGCCTTTCACAGTAAGCCGTGGAACTGTACGATGTTCAGGCAAAAATACTCACAAGGCTGGCAATGTGGCGCAGCCTAACGGCGTGATTGTCGTATTTGGGCCTTGGCTTTGGGAACCATTTTCTGTGGGGGCTCTGTGCCTGTCAGTTTTTTTTAGAGTAACGACCCTCAACGGATCGTAACGTCACGTAGACCAAGCGATCATCCCTGGCATTGACCGTCAAAATGTTCCGTCGTCCTGACCCGATGTCATACCGCGGTTGATCCCGCAGCCGCACTTTGCCCGTGATACAAGGTCCAACATTTCTTATGCGAAACAAAAGCAACTCCTCCAGTTTTCCAGAACGAATAACCACTTTTTTTCATTTTCTGAATGGCAAGAACCACTCAACGGGTCATTTAAAAAAGTTGTTGACACAAGAACCGGACACGCGACAGAACCCCAGGCCGGGGCACGGTCGCGTTTAACCACGACAAAAAAGGGGCAAGGTCCACGACCGCGCTCTGAACTTGATCCGGTGTCACGGAGCGTGTCCTCTTGACCGGCAAAACGGGCGCGCACGTCGCTTCTCCCGGTAGGTCAATGGTATTCTGGGCGCACTGACCACCGGAATCCCCGACCTTCAATTTCCGCACCATTAGCGGTCACCTCTGTGACGCCTTTGCCCCTGACATTGGCCAACGAGTCATTTTTTTAAAACCAAATAAACCTTTGACAGAACACATCAATCTTCAGTTGAAATTATGGGAGAAGCGCTGAGTTTTCAGCGAATTTGTCAATATCAGAACACCATACATTATTTTGCAAATCCAATATTCAACTGTCGCGAGTTAGATGATGGCGTTACATTGAATACACAATATTCATGCACGTAAATGCAATAGTGCCGTAGTTATTTCCTCACTGAGAACCTGCGGTTGCTTTCAGATGGTGTGAAGCCACATTAATCACAGACAAAAATATTTTAGGAAAAAGAAATAAAAGCCATTCGCGACGTGCTACACTTTTTGAGTCAGAGGACGGCATTCCCAAAGTTCCATCTTCATTACTCCAACAGCATATTACGACGACCTCGCGGCTTCGCGCCTTTTATATTAAAGGAAGGCCAAATGATTTTACCACGTCTAATTTAATAATAAAAAGAAGAAAAAAACACAACCCAAGTCCTTTTGTTATCCACAAGCCCACGACTGCGAAAAACCATGAGACCGACCTCGGTGGTACAACAGCGTTCCCCACCGGGCATCGGGGCTTTGGCCCTGGCCAGATTTTTGACGGGTTGTGCCTGGTATGGTTAGTGCGATGTGTTATTTTACCAAGAACCGGTGAGCGCAAACTACGCATACAAATTACAACCAGTGTTTCAGGAGAATCGTTGCAAAATTTCCACAGAGACTTCAGTCAGGTAGAGCCGGATCTATTAATTTTTCACAAGCCCAAAGGATCTAAAGCTTAATCAAAGGAGGTCTTCAAAATGAGTGCCAGAATTTTGAATGTCGAAATCATCTTGTTTGTTCACGTTTGCACATGGTTGTGATCGGTTTCTACCTGCCCCTACAAAGAATAATGTGTGACAATGTGTAAATTTGTTTAAAAAGTTGAGTTCAATGGCGATTTCAGCTACACGTTAACAATTGCCGCGAAGCCTTTTAAAAAAAATCTGCAGTCTATAGCAAAAATTTACCAATGAAAGGAAACAACGCCTGCAAGTCTTTCTTCAACACCCCTGGCATTCCATTTGAATTCTGACTCCTCTGCGTGAGAGAATTGTGACCAGAGGGGACAAACTGCGAAATGTATGAAATCAGAAATCTCCTGTCTCCAGTAGATTTTAGTAAATACAAACCGTCGTGCCACCGCTCACTGAGTGTATGGATACCCTTATTCCGGAAAGTCAGATAGGATTTCAATTCATGACGGGAACTTGCGACAGAAACTGTACCCAGAGAATTCAGCCAGTAAAGATGAAGCGAAATCAAGAGGTCAATATGAAGTCATACATGTACACAACTGTATGGCGTATTATGCAAATACCCACGTTTAGAGAGCGGGAAAAATCATGGTACGGTACACCTATGCTCGTTGCTTCTTTTGCAACACATTTCTTCAGGCATTCGGTGTACAGTTTTGAGATAGGCCTACATGCGCACGTGTAGTCCATCAAAACACGTGAAATGGATTCCCTGCATGTTCTGTGATTTATTTTAGCAGTTTGTGCGGTTTTTACATATGCGTGGTCCACGGCGAATGAAGCAGCAGCCAAACTACTAGAGTCTTGAATAATGAGATAACAACGACCGAGGCTCAAAAGCCCTTCGCATCCAAGGGCTAAGTATTATTTTTAGATTCTTTTTTTTTTTTTACGACTCTCGCTTCATTTTATTCATGCAGATT